TCGCCTTCCGAATAATTATTGCCCTCAATTTGTAAATATGTTGTTAGATTGTTCTGCTTATCTTGCTATAAGTCTGCATAACAACTATTTCAACTGGTTCGGACCAAACTACTCTTAAAATACCTTTTTATGACAAAATTATCAATCCGGTATCAGCAATTTCTTTGTCGCAAGCTAAATTTGGAAAGACCAGTCAGAAAATCCGGTTTTTTCGATCTTCAATAGACAACTTATGAAAATATATGTACATACATACTGAATTCGTTGGAAATCTAGGTTAAATCGCAAGCGAACTTACGTACACTACACAGCAAAAACTGGACCAAATACCATTTCGAATACTCGCTTACAGCGAACAATAAAGTATTGGAGAGTTAAAACGGCTTACAAAACCGCGAACGAACTGCGTGTGATTGACGCATCGTTAACTACACAGAGTCGAAAGTGCCATACGTCTTCGGTTCCGATCGTAAGTTCGATGATGCACAAAAAAGTCGAACCCATGCACAATCTTGAAGAGAATTTCCGTACAAGAGGTTTTCTCCCCCTAGCAGTCAGGCGCGTCATTACATCGCCTCGAGTCGCGGGAGATCAGTTGAGCCGATCGCTATTACTATCGCTGACAGCCTTTAGAAATATCGAAACGTTTATTGAAAAATCCTCTCTCTCTCTCTCTCTCTCTGTCTCTCTCCTCTCTCTGTCTCTCTCTGTCTCTCTCTGTCTCTCTCTCTCTCTCTCTCTCTCTCTCTCTCTCTCTCTCTCTCTCTCTCTCACGGTGCACACGCGCGAGTAAAAAGTTCCAGTAGCCAATCAGCAGGTGGTAGTGTAGGTCTGCTTAACGAGCGGATTCCGCGAGATTCATTCTTTATGCCTCCCCCCGCTTGCTCGAAGCGGTAATCGAACGCCCATAAAGAAACTACACTGCAACTTTCATATATATACGTTTTCATCCTCGCACTCTCGCTTTTTCTGCGTGTCTGCACTTGCCTTATTTTCCGCGGTAAAACCAAGCGTTTCTTTGTCTCGCGCACACGCGTGCGAACCAGTTCTATGTGCTCTGAAAAGACAAAACCACTTCATCGATGGAAATTCGAAGTGTTACGTCGATTCCCTACATAATCAGTAAGGAAAGCTTAAGCAATCTGGACTTTGCTTTGGAGCCAGTCGTGAGATGCGCGAGGCAAGAAATCGTCAATTTGTTATTAGCCGTATCTTCGATCGCTGCTCAACAAATTTCGCGTACACACGTATGATTGAATGGACGCTGAGCTGTTTGCGGGGCGCGCGTATACGATTGTTTTGGCTTTTGTGCTCCGCGTCCGTGGCAGTCGCGCGGCGCGCTATTTTTAAAAGAGACTTGTGACACGCGAGTGTTTTGTCGACGGTATGGCAAGTATACGTGCGAGATCACGTTTTCGCGTAAGCGCACGCGCGAACGTTTTGGAGCGTGAGTGAGATTCTTGATCTTGTTAGGCTGATCGACTTCTTTCGGCCGCGAGAAAGAGCTTCGATTGATTTTAATGATAATTGACAAGCGTTCGAATTGTTCTCCCACTCGCGATCGCACGGTGACGACACTCGCTGAAACGCACCGTCGACTAAGAATTGTTCCGCGAGGCGTGATATCAAGATAAATAAACGCGCAAGCTATAAATAAATCGAGAAATATAATAAAATCAAATAAGACGCAAGCGTGAAACATAAATTAAGCCGAATCGCAGAAAAAACGAAGGAGCAGAAAAAGGAGGAGGAGAAGAGTAAGGAGTCGGCGTAACGACACGAAGAGACGTATGAGCGCGAGTGTAACAAGAAATCATCCCATAACAAATGCCAGCAGCCGACTAATGAATAAAAGTAGAAAAAGAATCCGTAGTCGTCACAATGATCGGTGCAGAGAGACCGATAAGAAGATCCGGCATCCCCATTCGTGGCGAGCTTGAGAGACAGAGAGGAGTCTGCAAGTGCGGAAAGAAAAAACGTCAGAAAAGTCGTAAATGGGGTATATCGACAAGAGCTGCTTGTAATTAGTAGGAATCGACTATTAATCCGCACGACGTTGCCTTTGTGTTTTTTTTTATTTGGTTGATTCCTTATATGTACCGATCGAGACAGACACGCTGTCTTCTTCGCTGCGGATGGCTTGAAACGATTAACGAAAACTTCTCCAAAGGGTTATTGTTACTACTACTACGCCGCGATGTTTTTGCAATGAAGATTCTGCGCGTACTTGTTTTGATGGTTAGGTGCAAGCATTCCTCGCGCTTCAATGCCATCACAATTAATTGAACCAACACCACGTTGTAAAGATTTTTATCTAATATATGTATCTTTTTAGGAGATATTCTCGAAATATAAAATTTTCATTAGAAACATCCAACGCACATGGTCAGAACAGAACCTTCCGATTCTTGGAGTTGGGCTTATCTCGATTCGCAATCGGCTTGTTCGAGACAATATCTCTTTATTCCGCTGACACACTGCTGCACACATTATCACGCTGTGAATCCGCTCGGACAAAGAAGTTGAGAGAGAGAGAGAGCTAGGAAGAATAAAATCAAAAGGCCAGACAACTTGGCCTCTTTCCAAAATTATGGGCTCGACATTATGACTTGTAGTCTTACGAGTTTCTTTTTCTCCTCCATAAACGTGATAAGTATAATGACAAAACCAAATGTTATTTCACCTTGTACAGTCGCCAATGTCACTCGTGCGTCTCTTAATACGTAGATATCATTTGACGAGTGGGACGAGGAGTATCCGAAGAAGCTGATTGTAAGGTCGGCTATTTTGTTGAAACGTTTAAATTAGTAACAAGTCATCATTGCGAAAATGAATATAAACATCTCATTAGCTCTTCTCTTCATGTAAGTCTTTAATGGACTCGCTTTCCAAGATCACGTCCCAAGAGCACGATTAACAAAATAAACGTGTCACTTACTTGGTGAATAATTCCCGATATCAACAGATTTAATGTCGATTGAATATACCATTAAGTAAATAATAAAACATTCAAGGATCACAGCCTTTCCGATCAATAAACATCCGCCATTCAAAGCTAACGAGGACCGCAGATAAAAGTAAAATAAATAAATATCGGTGTCCATTAACATAATCAAATAAATCCACAGTGACGCCGAAAGTCTTGCATTAAACGAGTCGAACAAGCCCGGGAAATTAAAAGTTGATCGGAAGAAAAGCTAATCCCCCATGCCAAATACATGAGAGTACATTAAAAATGCATCATCCTAGAGGGCTGTTCGATTGCTCTCCCGAACTGATCGTACCGAGATAGAGGTAATCTGAGCGAATCGATGATCGCGGCCGTGGAAAATCATTGGAGAGGGGTAGATAGCGAGGAGGCTTTATTGGCGTCTCGGGGCTTGCCTCGACTCTCTCGACCCAAATGAAGATAGAGAGCGGTGGATCCCGACACGCGGTTTATAAGACGGAGGGGCGTTTCGATTTAACTGTGGCACGCGTGCTGCTCTTCGCGTGTTTCTCTGCTTGTAATACGCGAGGGTTGCTGCTTGTCAAAGAGTTTAACTTTGTGGCTGTTTTTCCGCACAAAATATGTCTATTCTAACTGTGTCATCTTTTCTGCTTTTTTTAATTATCACTAATTTACATAATTCTTCAACTTGTATGACAAAATTATTCATCTACGATTGGAGATATTTCTGGCCAAGCGGTCAATCTCATTACGCCATCTAGCTTATAGTTACTTGCTATCTTCGAATTCAGGCGAGCATCAGCCGCGCTGTGGCAATGTGTCGATAGAATCACGGTATCGATCGTTCACTTAGAATTTTAATTGACTAAAAACTATATTTTTGCTTGGTGCAAACAAACTATTCTTATTTTTCCACATTGCTGTAGTCGTTCAAGCTACTATTTCTGAAATATAGCTACTAATCCATTTGTCATGTTTTACTTTATCAAACGAATTTAAAAGGACTTTCATAGGGCAGAAAAAAGGGTAAAGTATCGCGTTTATAATGAATAATAAAACTAACTATAAAAATGTTGAAATTCTATACTTTAAGAAGCATTTTCGTATAGTGAATCTTGAATCGGAGCGTTGTAAATAATTTTGAGATGATAAAATTTTTCTTTATAAAAAGTTACGTTACAAGGTAAACCCACCTTCACGCACTAAGAAAATAGTTCGCTTGAAATTATTTCAACATTCAGTAAAAAGTTGTGATTATTTGCGCTTAAGATGGCAACACAACGTACACCAACCCCATGTTATTGAGACTCTTTGAATGAAATTCATAGTAAATAGCTGGAAATAAAATATATTGACAAAAACATTTATCCGAGCAACTATTATGCAATTGGCAACTGGCAATTAGACGTGTCGCCAACAAGTAGACAGAAAGAGTCAAGTGCGTGCGTGGAGTTCCACGTGAGAGCACTGCAAAGTCGGCATTAGGTGCATAATGCACGCAAAGCGGCGGCGGCGGCGGCGCGCGCGCGCGCGTGCGTGCGTGCGAGGAGAAGGGAAAAAAAGAAGTGCGACATAGCCGAGCAGCAGCACGCACAAAGGGCGGGCAACGAAAATCTAGCCGAGTAGAGGGGGCGTTGCGCAGTGGAGATCAACCCCTCTCGAGTGAGAGAACAGAGAAAGAGCAACCGGCCGCCTGCCGCTGTCACGCACTCGATCGCACGCGCTCAAGGCGTCGAGAGCTTTTACCCGTATAGCTATAGTCGCGCGGCGATACGCACTTGCTTGCTCCTCTTCTGGCCTATTGCCAGCGCAAGCGTCGCTGTCGACCATGTGTTTGTGGATGAGACGATTGTTCGAATTGTCAAGGTGCACGGGATATCATTGACATGGACGTGCAAGCGTACAGTGGGATGTGGCAAGCGGCGGCGGCGGCGGCGACGGCGCCAAATTTGTATTCGAGCGCTTATGGCGCCACGCCGGCAGCCGCGCATCCCGCGCTTATGCAGCTGCGCGCTAACAGTAACCAATTACATTCCTGGTTTCATTCCAGGAAGCCGTCCATGGACGACGTCGCCAATCCCAACTCCGTCAACGCTCGGTGAGTACATTACTCTTATTATGATCGTTATCTAGTTTTAGATTTGCTTAATCTGTCATATGCAGGTTTACTTGCTTTTGCCGCATCATTTTTCTGACGCTTACGCCGACAAAATTGCCGTTTTCGATTAAGACAACAATTAAAATCTGATTTTGGTAACATTATTTGCAATGCTCACAGAATTTGTGCATCGAAAGAATAACCGCTCACGTTTCACATCAGATCAATCAACTATTTAGCTCTTCGAAGCAAGAAAAATAATGACGTAATACTAAAATTCCGCATTGAAGCAGAAAAATAATACGTTACTGGCTTCCGTCCTCCAGCAAACAAATACTATTGTAGCATTGAAGTACATATATGTCGTATACTTATTTCAAAACATTAAAAAGAAAGACAGCTACGCTATAATAAAAAAAAAATACTCAAACAGATCGCTTGACTTTATCACCAGCACGCAAACAAGCATTATACAATTCGCATCATCGAAAAACGACAAATTCTCATCGAGTTAAGTGTAATGGGTCTAGGCTGGGTATTACCACTGAGAGCGACGAAGATAGCGTTGCAAAGTCTTTAAGCCGCAAGAAGTCTATTCTTTGCGAGTCTTATCGGTCGCGATCACATCAACCCCTATACTGTTTTCGCCACTCGACCCTTTTACTATTTTCCACTTCGCTCTTGGGGACAGATCAGCGGGCCTATCCGACACCCCGTAACAATTGAACTCTTAATAGAATCACATTCGTTCTTATTACCCGCCGAGGTCAACCGAATATCTGAGAAAATACCTTGAAACCTTGTTACGCGACGCCTTCATTGCATTTTTTTAGCTATAGGGAAAAATAAATTATCAACAGTTTATTAAATTTTTTTGTTCATTTAAAAGAATATTAAACTTTTCATGAGATTCAACTGGTGTAATCGATTGTTTTCTCGGGCAATAAATTCTCATTGCTCTTTTCTATTTCTAAACGTAACAATGAGTTGTTCAGAGATGATTGAAACTTCATATAGCCCAAAAAAAGTGTTCGCTGTCCTCCGCAAAGCTTCAATTAAATAACTTGAACCAGTCGAAAGACCAAAATAATTTGTTTCCCAGAAAAATTCATGAATGTTAATGCAGAGTCAACTTTGTCGGTGTTGACTCGTAAAGGCGACAAACGAAGCTCCCGATGACAAGCGACTTGATGCCTTAATTAACTTGCCATTTGAAGGCGCATCCGAAACGGACAGGGTTCCAGGAGATACTTTACACGTGCTCATTAACTACTTTTTTTCTGGTGAATACGAGTTTCGTGTCCGCGCGCGCACTTTCGAACGAAACAGCCTTCTTCTTGTGATAGAGCGCCGAATCCAACTAATAACACTCTCGGCATTTCTCTTCCTTATGAGTAGACAAGTTTAGAATGAAATTTGCCGTACAATAATGTCGACATACATTCAAACAATATAGACATAACAATCTAAAATTCTATTTTTCTCTGATATTTGGATCTATATCCGTTTGTGCAAACGCAGAGCGTAGCTCTTTGCGGCTGGCAGTCTGAAAAATATGCTAATTCAGGGCGAATTAAACCATTAAGAAGCTGACGGTTGAGACGGCGAGTTTTGCCCGAGCACTTCTTCTTTGCAAAGTTGCCCGCGCGGGAATAGATATATAGCGAAAAGATCGAGGGAGAGAATAGCTTTTACTCTTTAATTTGTCCTCGAATTCACAAGATCGTTAACGATCGCGCGCGCAAGGGTGAATCTTCTACTAATCGACGTAATTTTATTCAAATTCTGGATGGTCTGCATCTATAGAACTGCTTGGAAAAGTGGAACGGCTTCACTGAACTATTTTGATCTGGAATTATGGGGCACGTTATCAACAAATCAGAAAATATATTATCAGATCTATTGAATAAAAAGGAAAAAAGAAAAGCTAAGAGTCTTTTGCCGCGAATATTATAATTAGATAATGTTTAGTTATTTTTCATTGCTAAAATTATATTTTATTGCTTGTGATAACATATATTTCTTTGAAATAATTAAAAATCACAGAGTTATCAGTGTATACAAACAGCATTCGTACCTTCGACTCCGTTAACTCTCTCGTTAAGCATTAAACTAATCTGATAGAAGTGGAAAAGGGGTAGCCGCAGGGGGTTCTCCATTATACATACTCTCCACCCACAAATCTCACGTGTGCGCACAGCACCGTGAAGCGCAACAAAGTGTGGATTAAAGAAGCAACACTGCGCCATATGAGTTATGGCTCCCACGTACCGCGCCGAGTTATTATTTCCACGTGATTTACGTGATATAATGGCCATTTTCGAACCAATGAATTACGCACTCTCGCAATTATGTTGTACCCATGCGACCATTCAATTGCTAACTAACATGACAACTCTCGCTTCGCGCATACAGCTTCCTTTCACCTGTGCCTTTCAAAACTGTTTCTCGCTCTCTTCTTTTGTAGTCGATTTTCCTTCGGTCTCTCGGTACACTCCGTATACTTCTAGTTCACTTGGTTCATTGATCTTTGTTTACTTCTAAATACTGATCCGTATTCATAGTTTTTCTAAAAACCAATGCGACAATTCCAAATAATTTTTAGCGTATTTTGTTCGTTTAGTCTCTCGGTATCATGTTTAATATATGACAAGAGCTACTTATCAATATTTACAATAAAGAAAAATACAGCTGGTGAAAGGGTGCGTCGAAAGCCACTCAGTGATAAGAGAGAAGCATTGTTGCAAATTAGCATAGAACTGAGTTACTGATAGAAAGATCATCGCGATAAAGGTTATTGTGCCCTTATCAAGTAGTCAGCCGGTCTACGTGACAAGTGCCCGACTAAGAATCTCAGATTGCGAGAACGAGAGGGGGCGAGGTCGAACAAAACGAATTTATCCGTAGCAAAGCGCACGGCATTCCTAATAAGCCTCGTAGTTGGAGCGTAGTCGTGACGATGGCGTGCCGCCGCCCGCGGAAGGCAGGTGAAGGCTACGCGCTGCCCTCGAGAAGCAGCGGCACACCAGCCAGTGCGTGACGTCAGTCGGCCGTCGGAGGTGCGCGCGACGTGCAGGGATCCCCCCGGTAGCGGCGGCAACACACAGCTGGGTCACGTGCGGGCAACCGGCAGAACGTGAGCTCGCTGACTTAAATCGAGAGCCGGCGGCTGCACAGCCTCGCAGAACCGATCTCGAAAGCGCGCGACTCTCCGTTGCTCCCCTACCGCACCCGCCACACACACACACACACACACACACAATCAGCACGCGCGTACACGACGCTTGCGGAATCGGAATTGAGCTCACGTCCCGGACGCGCCTTATACTCGCTTCGACAGAGAGAATATTTCAAAGCTTCGCAGACCGAGTGTCTGCGATCGCTCTCCTCTCAACAATTACTCGCTATCCGCACGGCCACGCACGGGCACGCACGCAAGGGGAAGATTGACCCTGACTACCTGCCACAGTGCTCGCTATCTACGCTACGTACGACAGATTTTCAAAAAAACCTCAGAAGTCAACGCTGCCTCGATGAACTTTTTATTTTCAACATCCGTACGCAAGGTGCGTTTGAGCAATTGTGCGCGTGTCTCGTGGCAGCACGTAATAACACTCTGTAGTGGCATCTGATCGGGAGTAGTCGTCTGCCTGTTTGCTGGCTTTTTAAATAAGAGCTGCCTCGTATACCGGCACTTAACGGTCAATTACTATTACGGGAAATTAAATCAATCGAGGCGTTTATTTAAGAGGGCCCCGGCTACTCTTCAGCTTCGTCGTCGCGTCAGCCAGGCGATTGTCTCGGTAGTCGGAGCGTCATCTTTTCTAATCTTCAACACTTTCAAACATTACTTGTGAATCCCAATCAAATGCCACATGCACTTACGTGTCTTGCTTACTTACTTTTAACCAAGTATTCCGACAGCTTGGCTGCTCTAACAAGTTGAGAACCAATTTCTCTCTTAAAAATAATAAAACAATATCATGAACAACGGCGAAAGATATTAGGCGGTAGTATTAAAACTTTTCTGGTCGTTTTATCGTTACATGTAACTGCCTCAATCTCCATATTTGAAATGTCAAAAGAGCTATATACCAAACTGCTGAATCGTTTATTTAACGTCGATGCTTTAGACTCGATTTACACCATTTTCGCAATGAAGATTAATAATCTTTAACAGTGACTGAACAATAACAAATATTAAGATTTTTTTTGACAAACCATATTCGTAGAATCTGGTATTAAAAAAGACCTGAATTGTAAATAAAAAATGAAGCATGGATCATTACACAATATAAATGTCTCAACTTGTAAACTTAATAAAGTTTGATTGATAAGTTGCGTTGTAGCACACTTGATGACCAGGCATATTTATTATGTTACAGATATGACGAGAGGCACTACGCTTTCGAAAGGTACGATGAAATATTTTAACTTACCACTATACACCGTTTTCTTTTAATTTGGTTAAGCACTCATATTTAGTAGTCTTCCTTACGTGGTGTTAATTTGTTTTTCAGACAATCAGAAATTCATTCCGAAAAATATAGCGCATTCCGAAAAAAAAAATCAAGCAAATTTAAAACAATTACACTGACATTGAATGTGTTGCATTGAGCACTAACAAACTGAAAATCGGAAACCACAACAACAAAAATCTTATGCCAAAGTTCAGAAATTTGAAATAATAGTTGACGGAACATCGGGCGCTATCTTTAACTCGATTATCATATAAATAATGATCGTTCTTTGAACGCAATTATGCAAAACCACGATAAGTGCAGAAGGGAGATCAGAAGAGACCAAAAAGTGAAAGGCGCGCCGCTTTTGGATGTAAGCAAGGGGGATGGGTTTATAACATCAAGATCAACTATACCTATACTTCGAATAGGAGAGACGTGATTTTTCGGAGCATCGCGCAGCCCAGCAAATATTATAATGACCGAATGCGCGAGACTATGCTTTGGTTTCACGAATGAATATGGCCTATGTGTGAGTTGAGTACCTTGAACCGTGTTATGGGATGTGGTTGCAGTATTTTCGTCTTCTTTTCTTGCTGTCCGCGCGCGATCTGACTTTGATTCGTCTTTTTTGAAGCTCCCCTTTTTATTCGGCCGCGTTGCTGCGGCGGCCCTACTTTGCCGAGCGAGTTGCGCCATGGTTCAAAGACCCGAAAGCGAATACCTTTGTAATGCCTGCCTTTGTTTATTTTTACTTTATTTTCTGCAATCTCGTTTATATTTTCTTACGTCGATCGACATCACTTTTTTTTCGGCTGCGCTTGAAAAAATCGGTTCCTTAATCTTATAGATTAAAAGTACATGTGAAATAATTGCTTATCTTACAAGTCAACGAATTCCTTTTGGCTGCAATAACCAACGCTAATTATAAAAACATAACGTTTTTTGATAGCTCTTCCATTCTTCATTACATCATCATCATTATCATCCTCATCATCATCATCATCATCATCATCATCATCATCATCATCATCATCATCATTGCAACCAGTAAAATGTTTCATTTTCATCCTCTTCTCCCATTTACTTTCTAAATCCGTTTCTCTAACTTTCAATTTTGCCTTTTGCTCACCCTTGCCTTCTTTTCTTTATACTCGCTCGCTTTCGCGTCATTACCAGATGATTCGGTTGCGCCCGCAAAATTCCTCGGGATGCAAATTACCCACGGCGGCGTTGGCAGCTGGAGAGAGAGAGAGAGAGAGAGGATGCAGATGCCACGTCGATCGAGCTTCCGCGTGCATCACTTCGCTCAATTTTCAACGACGAAAGAGGAAATAAGAAGAGATGCTCCTCTCCCTTCCTGCAAGAGAAAGCCTTGGACGGAGCCTTTTAAAAGGCATTTCAAATCAGCGCGTCTCGAAAGAATCTCATAGTGACGCGGCGGATAAAGGGATTCCACCGTTGCTCCTTCACAGCCGCGCGCTATCTTTCTCTCTGTTGTACTCGCGCGTCTTTTTTTCTCAATTGACTCTTGACTTATCTTCTTTCTCTTTCTTATTTCGATTGAACCATCGCCGCGCTGTAGCGCCGTATGCTAACCTAAACTTAAAAAGTTGTTTTGTAGCGGAATTAAATGTATCTTTCATGACGTTTTAAATATTCAAAACTATTCGGATTCCTATGAAAAAGAGATATCGAGTTATGTCAAAAATTTCAATTGTAAACACTAATGAAATTTATTGAGCGTGCAAGGCAAGAAATATGTTGATTAATTCAAAATCGAAGGAAGCTTTAGAGTAAAATGAATGGAGTGAGCCTCAAGGCAGAAAATAAAGCCCTAATCTCGCCTCCAAGCGTTGACACGGCAACTCCAAGTCAATTTCCGCTAGCTTAGTCGTTAGACGGCTGCGATTTCAATTACCTTGATACGCATTCAATGAACTTTGAAATCGTTATCTTAAGTACATCTTAGTATAAGTTGTACTTCGTATGAAAATAAAATTTTTATTTTCCCGGACACTTCTATTTCTAAATTCTTCTTTCTAACAGCGTTTTAATTATTGTAGATAAAAATAGTTTAGTAAAAACACGAATAATGAGTTTTCGTAAACAAATATAAAATTTCATTTTTCGTCTTTGAGTAGTTATAAATATACATTGAAAATTTATTGCTGCAACTTTATTATCAATTAAAATAGCAATAGATGCAAAAAAAAATTTTGAGAACGCTGATAACACAAGTTTCAACTAGTTTTTCTATAGTTATATCATAAGAAATACGTACATACTGAGAAACGAAATATAAACAGTTATTGTGGTTTCCAATCTAAAAAAAGGTGTAGAGGGGTAACTACCCCATTTCAACAAACACATCCCCCAAGCCCCTTGACCAAGACACTTAGGAGCAACAATAACCGCCCTAATCCGCCCATATACGTTGCTGTCTGCTCGCCGATGAAAAATGTAAAAATCCGGAAAAACCGCCAGCCCATGACAGTTCAATACATTTTAAATGCGTTCCGGCGCATTTGTGGGCCGCCACGCGATAAGCTATGAGTGAGAAAGAAAAAAATTTCACTGGCCTATGTGCTTTTCTGTACAGCACAGCCCCGCTTCTGACACTTGCCACTTTAAGAGAAAGAAAGGACACAGAAGCGCTCGGTCGCAACTCCCCAATATGGCTTCGTTATTTATCGTCAGATTTATGGATAAATGAGTGGCGTGAAGCGATTTCTGCCGAAGCTTGCCCCAAAATAAAAAAGCCAAAAATCGAAACGTAGAAACAAGGTTTTTCGCTTACTGTCATTCAAAAAAAGTATTTTCTCTATACACTCATCAATAAGAAAAACAACTTTAAAATACTAATTCATCCAAAATGAAACATCCTTTTGATCCCTTAATTTTTAATTTTTCCCTTATTTTTAACATATTAGCAAATAAGCTTTACTAGTAGTAAATAAGCAAATATAACAAAAATCTTATGTTATTAGAGTAGCTTACTTTGAAAAGCTAAGACGTTCATTTTCATCAGAGTCAGAGTGTTTAATTTTCTAATAGAGTCAACATGGACTCAATTTCCGCCAAACATCTTCAACTCCATTGTACATGTAGTAAAGCACGAATCGTAAGCGGTGTGCCTTAAGAGTCTCATTAGGTTTAAGCCAGCCGTGTGCTAATTTTCGGCATTCCCAGTAATCAAGGCAGCATCTCTATTCGTATTCATTTCTCAATTCGCCCCTCCAATCAATCTTAAGTCTCGCGAGCGCACTCGGAATAACGAGGGCGAGAAGCTCCTAATCTGCATCGGTAGATTGCTCTGAGAATTGACACTGAGCTCTGCTTGACTTATTCTCGCCACTGTTGAATCAAAACTTCTCGCGTCTTATCCACCATTCGCAAGATGCCGACTCAATGAATACATTACTCTACTTTAATTGGCAAGTACTCCCTGGGTGATTGGTTAGCTTGGAAATATGACACAAGAAGAGATAGGTGATGGTATTTTTAAATATTCTTGTAGAAATGAAATAGTTTTATATGGAATTTCATCTTTACAAATAATAAATAAATCTATTTGGTGATCTTGATTAGAGATGATTCGCAATCTTTGAGTTTTTACTCTTAATCAGAAAAAGTGCAATCATTCAAAATTTTCCCGATACTTACACAAAATATATCAAAATACTCATTAATTCGTATAATAAATATTTTCAAAAATTAAATCAATTAATCAATTGTCAAGCTAATTAATCTATGAAAGTGTGAAAAAATTTATACATTTTGTAGAGTCATATTTTAATTATAAAATTATCCAGGATATCACTGATATCAACTTTGTTAATAAATAATAGCAAAGTCCTAGAATGCTCATGGTAATCAAGCCATAGTGCATATACCATAGTTTTACATGCCATTTTTGGGCTTTTTCACTACTTATTTCTTCCTTTAAAATATATTTTTTCAAACCTCTCCAAGACGTCCAAGAATACTCTTCCCAGGATAGACTACGTATGTTACAATAAAATATTTGCTGATCTGTAGGATTCATTTTTTCAATTACTTCCAACGTTTTTGGCATATGTATTTTCCAATTTCCATTAGCGAAGTAGTATGCTAAATTCAAGTTCTTCGTAAATTTTAAAAATATAGAGACCAGCCTGTGATAAATATTATTGTGAAAAAGATAGTGATCATTGAAGTAATTGTATGTGCAATTTAAAATTGAGCCAAAAAAAAAATTACGGTCATTAGATCGTGGAAGCGAATTTTGCTGATTCTGTTAAATTTTATATATATTTTTGACGGCATTTATCACATCGTCAAAAACTGTATCAAATAAGATAGTTGCAGAATTGTTCCTTTCAAATTCGATTCGATGAGCTAAAATTTGGTTGTCGATTTATACATTTAATAATTATTTATTCCTTTACCTGGGGGTTTTACTCGATAAGATAAGGACCAAATCAGCAATGCAGGCAGGTATAAAGTGCAGTAGCATGTGTAGTATTAAAAATAACCAGTAATGATCAGTGAAAATCATAAAATTATACCAAACAGCTTTCTGAGGTCTTTCATTATAAGGAATTTTATGAGATAGTTCATATCCCATTTTCAAAGTGCAAGGGTTTGTCGTACTACTGCCATAATTATATACTAATGTCTGATTGTGACCATTTTTCCTACAAGTAATCATATGTGTGTTTGAAATGAACGTGATGAAAATAAAATAATATCAATATACCATTGACTATGACCATCCCGTGTAATTGCAAAGAGCGCATTCACAGTGAGATCGCATGGAATGAAATCTATTGGAACGTCGAGCAGATAACCTATATGTCCCATTCCCATTGGACCAGCTAAGAAAATTAGAACTGGACCTAAAGTGTTAGCCCACCATCCAGGTATTGGTTCTCTATAGGTAGCTGTAACTGGAAATTTTACAGTAGTCCTCAATTATATGAATGAAAAAAAGTATATCGTTAGATGAAAATAGTATTATTAAATTTATATTGCATTATTATTTTTAGAAGGTTGAAATAAAAAAGATTATTTGCATCTGTACATTTAACGTTAACGATTTTGACTTTACAACTGAAGTTCAATTGAGAAATACAGAGTAACTCAAATTTAAAATCATACCTAAAAGGTAAAGTTTTATATAAATAAATGTATTATTATTACAAAAAAAATGTAATTTTTGGAAATGATAGATGTCGTCCTCAATGATTTTTTCATTTTGACTCGGAAATGTAATTATAAATAATAATAGTAAATGTAACTGTATTAGATCATGTGTAAATGAATGTGTAAAACAGAAAAAAGGAATTATTAAAAAGAATAACTTTTTTTCATAGACTGTTGTATCTTTGATGTATACGTACAATTTGTATTCAATACGTTATATGTTTTTAAAAAGTTTCTGAAACTTTGATTGTACATATGAATAAATACACTGATTGGTAGATTTAACTACCAGTTGCGTACTTGCTGTTCTATAATTTAAATTTTTCAATGTATTCTCTAGTCGGGGATAAATAAAAAAATTCTATATAAAATAAACGTTAATTTTTTATGAAAGCAGTTTTTTACTGTACATGAAAAAATAAATAATCTACTTAATCGATTCGCACTACTAACTAATATCCATATTGGTATTAAAAATACTACTATGTAAAAAAGTCAAAAATACTAGCATATCATCGTCATGATAAACACTATCAAAGTTCCAGAAAGTTAAAAAAAATTCAAATATTTTCTTTCGCGTTATAAATGTTGAATTTTATAAAGATAAATGCACACTAACCAATACTCGGTCTGTAAATAATATGCGCAAAATCAGCATTCTGTCCGTATTGTCTGACGAGTTCTTCGGAAAAGGCTTTGGTATAGGTGTAAATATTGGGATGACGCCCAATTAATAATTTTAAAGCTTCTTCATTCAGTCTATCTTCAGATTTTTCATCAGCTTCAATAGCCTGATAAATAACATTTATATCTGCCGCAAATGGGTAACATTTTTCCTCAATATTTTTGGTATAGAGATGCGAATATGCTGTCGATACATATATGAATGCTTCCATGTGTTTGCATTCTCGAGCTAAATCCAGCATACGCTTAGTACCAAGAACATTGGTTTTCAGTGACACTCTAACTTTTTCAAGAAACTGCACATTTGCCGCATTGTGATAAATAATATTGACTTCGTTTATAATTCTTTGCTTATCTTTTTCGGACAATCCTAAATCTTCATTTATTAAATCACCTTTGATTGGAGTGACTTTTCTTTGAAAATCACGATATTCCTGTCTTAATCGGTCGAAAATCTATAAAGATTTACCCAATAAAAATTATTTTCAGTTCTATTCATGCCTTAATATAGCTTTCGACAGCGCTATTTATTTCTTCCGCAGTAATTGATTAATAAACCTATACATACCACATGATTGAAATACTTGTCCGTTCGCTCTTCTATTGTTTCATTTGATTTTTCTCTTATTAAAATATAAATATGCTTGATTTTCCTGCAGCTCCTCAATAATTTTTCTAGTAAACATTTTCCCAAAAAACCAGTGACACCAGTAATAAAAATCGTTCGGTTGGCAAAAAATTGCGTAATTTCACTATCACTTTGGTCGTATACACTTACTTCACTTGGATCTTCAATACGCTCGTAAAGTTGATCGATTAAAGACATAGCTTTTTTATGTTTATTCGTTGCAAAGAACACAAAACTTAACCTTAGCTGTAACTCTAAAATTTATAACTAACCATGCATGCTAGCAGCTTTGACAAACTAGAACTGACGTGGACGGCTACTGGCAGATTTATAACCTTACGTTTCGCCAGTAAGCTTTTCGATGGCGCGTGGAGTGGGGAATCCCGGCATATACTTAACAACTGAATTAATGCATCGAAATATTTTGAGGAGTTATTCCTTTATCACGAAATTCTACTTGCCGATTTTCCAAAATATTCTTCTCCATAAATATGAAATGCATTTGATTTACGATGAAAAGCCATTATTTATAAGAATATTTTGTATTCTAATTGAAAGTATATGACGGAAGATTGAGAACGAATTAAATTAATCAACCAATCGAATACAAGCAATGCACGAACAACAAAAGAAAGTTTCGCCGTTCTTTTATTTCAAGCGAAATATAGAGCGAGGCCTCGTAATCCAACCTTGCCGAGGGATTACAGGGCGCGTCATAAGCCCGAGTTATGGAGGGGCGGGTGGAAGTTTTTACGGTGTTTTTATGTCGTCTATGCGCGCCTCGGCCATCGCATTATAAGACGCGTGTTGGGGCTAAAAAGAAGAAAAAAAGAGAGAGAAGGCGCTATTTTTTACGTGGTCGCTTAAACAAATTAAAGAATCGTCCGACTCACTCCCGTCGTGAAATAAGTAAGCGCTATGCGCAGTCGAGCATCTATGTGTAGCACGCTGAGTCTGAATCTTTAACCAGCCAGTGAGTCCCGCGGGAAAGACCGGCTGCTGCTACTACTTCTAGTTATTCTTGTTGTCGCGAGACAATAAAGAACGTTATTTATTCCTCAATTCTTTCCCCCCTTGTTCTCCTTTCTTTTATTGCGTTTCACAAAAATATAAATTTCTCGATTTTTTAGTGCCACTTGTGACCTTTCGTATGCTAAATATCAGCTTCGCATTCTTTATTTATCATTTATATCTCTCATAATTTTCTTGTTCGTACTCACTCAATATGTATGAAACTATTAAAAAATAAAAAAAATAGCGTTAAAGCGAAATTCAGAACGAAGTCTTCATTGCAGTAATTGATTTGATTATCTTATTAGGCGTCAAGCATTGGAGGCTCGACACATGTAAATCTTGCAATAGGATATGACGACGGAGAAATTACGTCAATTTCAATTAATGAAGAGTGATATATGCAACTCAGCGCCGAAGACAAGTGAAGTAACAACGAATTATTAGTTAGTGGAATGAAATCTTTACAAAAATAACAAAATTTAGATGTTATCTCACTGATTATTTCTAACATGGCTGAGATGCTCGAACTTTTAAGTGTGACCATAGATATTAATCACAACTTTCCAGAAAAATGAATTTGATAAATATAAAAAGGTAATAGAAAGATTTTGAATCCCAAATCAAATCGTTCTCATCATTTGAACTGCAAAACATGATATGCCGATCACCAAATATAAAGCATCTTGTATACGCATAGCCAAATGAAAATACTTTAATGTATTTCCATAGCAGTAAATGAGTCTTTTTAGCATTAGTAAAATCTATTATTCGTTAAATATAAAAAAAGCATAAAAAGAAAAATTTACATAAAACTAAGTAATAAATAATATGAAAAAGGTTATTGTTTTGAATTAAAAAAATTTTACTAGGCATGTGCACAGTAAAAAAAAAATTTTAATTTGATAAGTGCTGCAGCGTCCGGAATTCCCGCTTGGCAACAGTAACTAGAAATTAATAGAGCATTATAAGATTGAGTCAGCGAACGGCGACATTAAAATAGGATTAGAAAGACTTTTAAATTAACAAAGAATCGAAATGTAAATTTGGCTGCATGCATGATTAGAGTGATTGCGCAAGTAGATCAGTATTGATGTGCTTAGTCGAATGATCGCGCTATGAATATTATCTGCGTTGTCGGCTATTCTTTATTGTTTTGAGCGTAGAAAACGAAAGACGAAATAGAATAGGAAAAAAAGTTGACGAAAGTGACCGAGTTTTGCAGAGCGCTTGACACACCGTGTCGTTGCGAAACGCCGTCGCGCGATACAGCATTTAATTGCTCACTATGCTCGCAATTCATCTGCCATTACGAAGTGAAAAGGAACAACCAATGGCCAGTAAGAGCTCTCCTAAACTACGTATACAGAGACTTATTCGGCTTCTGATAATCTACGAGTTCTCCCCTCAAAACTTGACATTTTCTCGTGACACTTGCGCTTGTTAAAAACTAGCCACCCTTATAGATTTCCAAATTTCTTGGTTAACTCGCAAGCAACTTCAACGTTGAAGGAAAAAATACATCGGGTTTATGCAAAATATGTAAAACAGTCAGGGCCAAGGTTAACTGAATGACAATTAAACCTGTTCTGTGTTCGTGATTCACAGCAATCATGTATTAAACATAGCGTCATGGAGTTAGATACAAGCAGAAACGACAACCAATCTGTCTAATATGCTTACAACCATTTAAATAAATCTATGACAAATCGACCTTTAGCTTCAATACATTTGTAAATTTATTATCGGAATGAAAACACTGTACGTTACGGAAAATGTCAAAGACCGCAGAATCAATTAGGTAAATGCATCGAAAGCATGCGATTGTTTAACAAAAATATGTTTAAAAGAAAGCAGTCGTCGAAATTTCGAGTTCGCTCATTTTCACACAAGGCGTGCGTTGCACAACGATCACATCAAATATTCAACAAAGCCGCAAGCTTACTTTTAACAAATGCAGATCAAGGTATAGTCCGGCTGATGACAAAAAGTGCCTTAGAAACACGAGCAAGGATTCACAAAAGTACTTGACAAACCTATACGTCGGACAAATAAAGTGACTTGAATAGCGCGCCAAAGTCACACACAGTTGGTCAATTAAATCAGCAAAGGCACACGAAAAAAACAAAAAAAAACTAAGCCATTAATCAAAGAACAGCAAGGTAAAGCGATAAGCCAAATTATCATTCTCTCTCGCGTAATGTGTGAGAAAAGCCTGCGGACAGACTGGTTTTCCACCGTTGCCGTAGACACAATGTGTCCAGGGAATTGGCAACTTCGAGCTGCTGTAAAAACTGTCTTGGCTTGTAATCACTTTAAAGATACAAGCGCCATTTTCGCTGTCTCGTGCGCTAGTGTACACTATTAATTAATTACCCCCCTCGTACTGCATACGCTTTTCTTACAAAAACAGTGTGACCGGTATTAGCCACACGAGTCTCTCTCATTAAATTTGCAAAGTACTTAGCTTTTTATCCACTGCGAAAGACGACTGTCTATCTCTCTTTCTCTCTTATTAATTCTAATTCGTGTAATGGAGAATGTTGACTTTGTCCCCCTTTGTACATCCGAGTGACAAACGAGTTAAGAATGGAAACGATTAATTAGCTTCAACCATTCATTAACATGGCAAGGTGACCGCGGATTTTCATTACAATATTAATTGAGTGCAAGTAAAATGAAAATCTTATCTAGAAGTCTTTCTCCTGAGAAAGAATTCTCTTTTTTTCGTTTGTTTGCCTTCCCGAGGATTTATTTTACGAGCGGCTTTCAGTGGTAATCATGTTAGCATTTGAGTGCCTTCGTCGATGAAATATTTATCGAGTGGCTGCAATATTGAAGTATATCCGCAAGGAGGAGCATCGAACAGAAAAAATGCATCATTGCATTACAGATTTAAGGCATTGAGCACACGCAAAATAATCGGGTTTAGGAGAGGGTGGGGAGTAAAAGCAGCTGATGAGGGAGGGGAGTTTCCGAGCTTATTGCTCCCCGAGTGGCCGCAAAACGAAGTTTGATCAAATTCAACGGCGAGCGGACATAAAACTGACCGCTCTTGGCCTCACCTCTGGCCCTTTATGGCATTCTCTCTCTCTCTCTCTCTCTCTCTCTCTCTCTCTCTCAATAAATGATTCATCCCTTACTTACGATACTCGATGCGATAGGACGCGATACACTTATGGTAGGTGATGTGTACGCCAACTTTTCTTCTCTCGGGCTAAGCCACCCGTAGATACCTACCTCCATTATCATAATTATGACCAGACTCGCGCCAGCTCTTATGGGAATCCAGTGCTCAGAGAGTTTCTACGTCTATGTATGCATGTGGCTGAATGTCTGTAGATGAGAAGATAGATTTACCGTCTGTTTTTTAATTATTTTTTTTCGTAAATACTTTTGTTTTTTATTTCATCGATTTCTAGAGTAATTTGATTATTCAACGAAATGTTTACATGCCAATGTTAAAAAAATTCTACAAATTTTAATCTTACATGAAAAGTTTCCCACGGAAAGCTCGCAGTCTTCGCGTATGACATTCGAAACATATTACTTACAGAAAAAAATGCCATAAAAAAAGCAAGCGAGCCACACTTAGCCGCGACACGCTCGGAGTCTACCCCTCGAATAGACGTCTAAATGGGCGCCGTATACGAATGACGGAGGATAGTGGTGGGGAGGCTTGACCACTTTATACGGGATATTGTTTTCAATAAAGCGTCGCATCAATCAGACTTTGCGACCAAGCACATGGAGAGAATCATGAGGTCGTCGCGCACACACAAGATGTCGGGAATGCGTCTGTAGGGATCACCGACACTGACCATCTCCTTTGCATAATGACTATCCGTGCCCCCTTTTGGATACGGATCCAACTGCAAATGCTTACAATAACTGTGACATTTAGGTGGATGGAACACACCGACCGCCGCTGTCGTACAGTGCCTGCGGAAATGAGTATTTACTTTTCTTTCGGAGATCATGAGACTTTCATACATAGAAATTGCTGCTAGTAGTAACAGCTGCTGCTGGAATCGCTATTCGATTGTGGGTCAGTGCTTGGCATTCGGATTGTACTTTTCCTTAAATTGCCAGAAGACCGTTCCGTTTTTTTTCCCTTATTTACACGACTGATCTTTAGAAGTCAAACTATTCTTTTTCTCACGGCTCTTGCGATCGATTAAATTATACACCGTGATAATTTGCCACGCCAAGAAGAGAAAGACGTCATTATTCTATTACACATCTATCAACCGACGACGTTATGTCAA